TGGGCCTTCGTTTAATTTTCAAGGCCATCGTGTCTGAGGGGACAGCAGGAGCTGGGATGATGTCCCAGAGGTAGGGCTGGACAGAGCAATGACAGTGCCGTTCCTCCTGCTGACAGCCGCTGTTTTGGGTCCGATCCAGCTCTTGGAGGGAGTTAACATCAAGCAGCCTCGGYTTCCCTTAAATCTAGACCCTGTGGCTACACTGAAACGTCACAAAACACGGCAAACCCTTAAGGTTCAGGAGTCTAGAGGGGAAAGAAAGGAAGAACACAGTAGTATTGTGTTGTCAGTTTTGGGCAGACTCACTTGTATGGTTTTGACTTAAGTAGYCTAAGGTACCCTGGACACAACTGAGCACTGCTGCTTGAAAGTCCTTGATACCTAAAGGTCTACACAATAAAACGGTATAAACATTCTGTCAAACCAACTAAATAATCAGGGCTTTCATATTCCAAAGCGGTCAGTGGAGCATGGCAATCAATTCAGCCCCCCTTTTCTGCACATTACACATGTGAGATAAATCCTTCAATGTCCTGGCACAGGGAAGCTTCAAACAATACTTGTAAACACTCAAGGAAAACTTGTTTTCCAGGGCATGACTATGCCAATGTACTTAAATTTCTAAGAGTTGAGTGGAGTTTCTGACTGATTTTCAGATTTATCTTCAGACTTCTTATCCTGCGGCATGCATTAAAGTGACACTTAACATGTTTTAACCCACTGAAAAGTGTAAGTAAAATACTGTTTCATAATCACTAAGTTGTAGAGGAAATGTACTTCTTTTTCCTTCAGGAACAAACAGAATTGTTGAGTTACCACTTCTAATTATTACGCAAGTAAATCTGGAGTTCCTTCAGGCYAACACACTTGCAAGAGTAGTCAAACTTCACCTTTTAGGTACAGTTGTTATCGTGCTCATGCATGAGTCACACTGCTTTTCTTCTTTAGTTGGAGACAGCAACAGTCCCAAGGCATGTGGGCATATAAACATACATAAATATCAACATAGATAGCCATCCCAGGAGGAGCTTGCAGCTTTAAAAAATATTTTCCTGACACAATTTGTTTTTTTGTTGGAATCATATGTTCCAAGACAACAGTACTGTCAGAGGTTATTCATCTGACACAAGGGCCTCCTTGGTGTTCTCAAGAAATGAGGTCTTCATAAATGAAAGACCTCAAATTCCAAAATAAAAAGAAAAACTAGCCTCACCTTCTTGGCAGGTGTTTCTTCTTCAACTCTAACACCAGTTTTAACGAAGTTATCCCAAAGTAAACAATGAGTAGGTTTACTAAAGGAAGCACTATTTTCCTAATGYAGTATTCAAAGTTACCAAACTAACACTGGATACTGCACACAGGTGGTGACTTGCCACCCTTCCTATACATCTTATGGAGATGAATGAGTTAGCTGAAGTTAAAAGGCTGCTGGGAAAAATTGGAAATGGAAACTATTTTTTCAGTCCTTCAGCTCAGACATGAACGTTAATTCATGTGCCAGAGGATAAGGAACTCTGAAGGTAAAGATGAGTAAAAAAATAAATAGGCAAATTTTGTAGGGCTTGGGGTTTTCACTGAAGTAATAACTGCACATTTCCAAATGGGAATGTGTGGTTTCCAGCACCTAAGATGAAACATGCTTCTGTCCTGAGGAACTTTCAGGGTTTTTTTTAAGACTTGCCAGATGTAGTTGATCAAAGCATAGAAGAGGTAAGCAGTCGGAAGAAAGGACACATAAAAGACTTCATCTGCTTGATGTTTTAGTAATAGAAGGCTTATTACAAATCGTACTTTATTCAAAAGTTTTAGTTTCATTTAAATATCAGCCTTATTTAAATAGTACCAGCAGACTAGCCGCAAAATGGTGAAACTTCTCTTCAAGATAAAAAGAGGCAGGAGTATGCAATATATATTTAGATACAGTATTAACATACATACTACTATATTTACAAAGAAAGCTCTGTCTAAATGTAGCCTCCAAGAGAACCTAATATAGCTGGTCTCATTAGACCCAGTGTTGCGTTAGTCACACCTTCCAACAAAGCCTGTGGATCTGTTTGTTTGGGCACTGCCCTCAGTGGTGCATACCAAAAACAATAGCTCTTAGATCCCRAAAGCCCTGGCACTGGGTGATTCCTGGAGGAGCTGTGACCGCAGGACAGCAGGCCAGTCGATTAGGAATAGCTGCTGCACACAGCAGTGGAGGAGAAATAGCTGCTTGGGTAGAGGCACCTTTCCCACAGGTCAGAAAGGTTCTTCCGCACAAGCTGAATTAGAAGCCATTGTCATTTTGATGGTCTGTGCAAGTGCCATGTCTCAAGAAATGGTTCTTTTCATGTGTTGGAGTTAAACCATCTGTGTCTTCAGAATTTATGTCAAACTGTGGTGCAATGCAATTCTCTGACTAAAGGCTGCTCTTTTCCCCCTTTATTTTTCCTTCTCACACGTGTCACTAGGTTCTTCCTGGTCTAGAGTAGGAGGATATTCTTATCGTATGGCACATTTGCAGAATGCATTTCATTTTGCTTGGCCAAACAAAGACCACCTGCCCTCCTCTTGCACACATAGCTGGTTTGTGCAGCTCTCCTTCCCCACTCCAAACAGAGACATGACACCCTGAACATGGCAGAATACTGCACAGCACAGTATTACTGACAGCTTCACCAGGGATTTCTCTCACCGTTATTTTCAAAAGTGCACAGAGGTAAAATAAATATTCTTCCCATACACTGCACCTGCTCTCAACTGACCCATCAGTCTACAAAAGCAGATTCTTCCAGACACTGGCAGGAGCATGAGGCTGGACTCACAGTGACATAGATAGAAATGGTAGCCTATAGATTTATTCTCTCAGCCTTTTTTCTTCTCAGAAGGTATTTTAAAAATTAACTTCTATGGCTTAAATTAATGATAAAAGTGTTAAATCATTTCAGCCAGCCATTCTGTGAGTTTTAAAGTTCACATGCCTCAAAATCCCGCAATGAGTTCCTAGCTGTCAGTGCCCATCCTTTTCCAGTCCTTTTCCTCACTTCAGCATGCTGGCAGGATCCACAATGCTTAACTCTTGGTATTTTCATTATTTTGCCTATCTTTTTTAAGTGACYTTCTAAAAAGTGATGCCTATTAGGAACAGAAGTTCTGGTCAGACTTAAGATGATTGTACAAGGGTACACACCACTGTATTTGTTTTTCAGAAGAACAGACATCAATATTGTGTTTGCCTGTATTGCCRTGTTTTAGGAAAATCAAATCTCTGGAGGTGCAGCAGAGGCACTGTCCAAAGCAGACCCGTCAGCACAAAGCAGACCCTGAGCTTTCTCAAGATGATTCCTGTCTCACTCTTCCCTTCAGGAGTTACATCTTTGCTGTCCGTTTCTTGCCCCATGACCATGTGTGATACTTGGATAGCAGACACAGCACTCCCACCTGCAAGCCATAAATTTTCCATACTGACTTACGTATAGGCCATGGAGGACGCAGAAGTGCCACTGGCACTTCTGCTCCCTCACAATATAATCCCATCTCATACACAAACACACTGGGAAGTAACACACACACACACACACTGGGAAGTAACAAAACAAAAATAGGTGGAAGACATGGAAACTCTTTTATTAGGAGGCTGGCTCAAGGTTTGGTCCCATTCTCTTTCCARTTTTGTCACGAATCTGGATCTTGGCAATTTACTTTACTTCTTTGGACTTCTACTATCCTATATGTAAAAGGAGAAGCATGGCACATCTTTCTCATGTGTAGAACCTTGAACTCCTCCAGAACAAAAAGTGCTATTATTAAATGTTGTGTTCTGATGTTYGTGGGGAGAAATTAAGTATCTGATGTCAAAAGTATGCTGGCAAAGGTGCAATCAGGAAGAAGGCGAAGGTCCCTTTTCTCACAATGGTAATGTCTGTTCTCTAAACAGGATACTGGGGCTTCTTTTGAGAGACTTTTAACTTACCCTCCAAATATTTTTCCAAAAGCTTTCAGCAACCAGCCTCCAGGGAAAGGGTCTATGTGAAAAGAGACTGTTAGGATCATTTCCAAGTCTGAGGGCAAATGCAATAGTGCTGAGTGACATTGGAGTTTCAGTTAGCCCTGAGTGTATTGTCACAGCTCTCAGTTCATGCACCAAGCATGAGCCTTTCACACCCACAGCAAAGAAGATACTCTGCTTGTTTGTATCCACCACAAACAACCAAGGGATCACACTAAGACTTGCAGATCGTGTTGCCAAGCTGTGATGTGCATCCAGAAGATGCTGATAAACATTCAGATATCAAACTACAATTTTAAATCAAACCCTCTCCTCCTGTCCTCTCCTGATTAAGAAATATTATGTGTGCTTTCACAATAGCTCTGGACACTCTGTGAGCATGCATTTTCTACACAGCAAAAAACTGCAAAACAGAGACTTTCATGTATTAGTGACATGCACTAATAAGGGGGTGAAGTATAGAGAAGCAAGTGAAAAATTCCAGTTCAGAGTAACAGAAGATCTTCTTCCTTTCCCCTGCATACTGTTGTGTGTCCCTTGCTGCATGAGAGACAATTTCAAACCCTTTCCTCATTCTCATACAGCCTAGGAAAATCCAGCTACACAATTCCTCACTGCTGCTGCTGAGTGACAGTGATAGTGCAAACAGTACCTACAGGATGGTGGCACTGTTTTGCATTTCAAATGCTGTGAATAAGAGCCACCTTTGTAGCAGACTGAAAATGCCAACTGTTCTGTATACCCAAGAACTTGCCTAGAGCCCAGCTATTTGCATTAAAGATAGTCCATGTTGCAGAGGCAAGTACAGAATTATCCCTCTAGCAACATGAATGGTT